CACTGCCTTCCTAACACACCTTCACTCATCACTGCCTTCCTGATAACCCCTCACTCATCACTGCCTTCCTAACACCCCCTCAATCATCACTGCCTTCCTAACACACCTTCACTCATCACTGCCTTCCTGATAACCCCTCACTCATCACTGCCTTCCTGATACCCCCTCACTCATGACTGGCTTCCTGATACTCCCTCACTCATTACTGGCTTCCTGATACCCCCTCACTCATGACTGGCTTCCTGATAGCCCCTCACTCATGACTGGCTTCCTGATACCCCCTCACTCATGACTGGCTTCCTGATACCCCCTCACTCATGACTGGCTTCCTGATACCCCTCACTCATGACTGGCTTCCTGATACCCCTCACTCATGACTGGCTTCCTGATACCCCCTCACTCATGACTGGCTTCCTGATACCCCTCACTCATGACTGGCTTCCTGATACCCCTCACTCATGACTGGCTTCCTGATACCCCTCACTCATGACTGGCTTCCTGATACCCCCTCACTCATGACTGGCTTCCTGATACCCCTCACTCATGACTGCCTTCCTGATACCCCCTCACTCATGACTGGCTTCCTGATACCCCCTCACTCATGACTGGCTTCCTGATACCCCCTCACTCATGACTGGCTTCCTGATACCCCCTCACTCATGACTGGCTTCCTGATACCCCTCACTCATCACTGCCTTCCTGATAACCCCTCACTCATCACTGGCTTCCTGATAACCCCTCACTCATCACTGCCTTCTTAACACTCCCTCACTCATCACTGCCTTCCTAACACCCCCTCACTCATCACTGCCTCCCTGATACCCCCCCGCTCATGAATGTCGGCAACACTTGGAAAATATGACACCATATTTAAACCAGCTTGATATTAGATTCATAAATTTGTATTCAGTAAGACAATCAGTATTTTTACTCTCCATCTTTCTGTTGGTTTAGAAAATTTTCAAAGCATAATTATCAGTCATTGAAATATAATTTTAACAATTTGTTAGATTTTATCTCTGAAATCACAACTTTAGAACTGGTTACATCTGAGGAGAATTCGAATTTAAATCTTTCACAGAATTATGGTTTTTCATACAAAAAACGTCAGCAACTCGTTTATGAATTATCACCTCTGGTACAACGTTGTGTTGAGACATATTTATTCATAAGCAAATAGCGTTTACTAGGTCGAGCAGTTACATCTCTCCATCATCCCTAAGCTGCCTCACCTCCGAGCGCCCAACTTCAAATGCTTTTGACAATGTCATATTGACAGTCATTCTCTACTATCCGGTCTTCCTTAAGATAGTTCCTAGTCAGGTCACCCCAGTCATCATACTGTATAATCTGCAGTGCGAAAATTGGGGATCTTAATTATGTTGTCATTATTAAGGTAATTGCATGAGACATTAAAACAGTGATTTGTGATTATTTTCTCCAAGTTCCTTATTAACTTCAGAGAATCCTTGTCTATCAGAACCAAGTCAAACAGTTTTTTTCTTTCTAGTTCTGGCATAAACTGTTTTAAGCAGCAATCTTTGAACATTTCAAGTAAGTCGTTAGACTCTGACCCTCTCAAGAGAATCTAACGACTTTCTTGAGGGGGTCAAATTGTCTCACCATATTTGGCTAAAGTTAAAATCGCCCATTAAAACTTTGTTTTCGTTTCTAAATATTTAAATAGTTTCATTCCAAACAAATTTAACACTATCGTTATTGAGGTTTGTGATCTGTGCATCAACCGATGACTAGCTTTTCGTTCCCTTCACAAAACTGCAGCCGAACAGCCTCCGCGTATCCCATCTTTATATTGTTTCTGATGCAACAGTTTAATTTTTTTCTAACATATATTGTAACTCCGCCCCTTTTCCGGCCGATTATCAATGAGTGATAATTATTTCCCCTTTATGTGGAATTCAGCAAGTGTTTCCCTGTGTTGCAGAATGAACCAGGTTTTATGTATTGCAATGATATCTGTTAATGATACATGCAATTAGTCTAAGCTTATCTATTTTACTTCTTGCACTCCGGCCATTTGTTTACTAGATATTAAAGAAGTTTTTGCCTTGCTATTTTCCCCTTTCTACCTTTGTTTATAGACGAATTTTCCAGCATTTATCAGAAACGACTTCATATGCAATCCTGTTTTCTGAATATTTGCCTAGTATATCTAATCCATTTTTGCTGCAACGTTATTGTTCCCTCTACACACTCTTACCTGATCTACCACCAGTTAAAAGTGTTACACAGGATTTATTAATGACTCCTTTATCGGAGGAGAGAGAATATTTCAACTGCAATTAATGAAATTCCAAGTTCTTTGTAGTACTTTCCTATGCATAAATTTACCCCAACTGCCCTAAACATTCATTTACTGCTCACTACATATTATTGCTACATATTATTGGAATCCCTATATTTGAATTAGTTAGATCAATAACTGTCTTGCTATTAGCCACCAATGCTTAACCTTGCAATTCCCAACATCATTACCTCCAATAGTGTGGCAGATAACTGGGTTATACTCCTTACCTGCTATAGGGAACACACACACACTGTCTGTCTTATCCCTATTACTGAAAGCCCCGTCCATATATCGATCCAGAGAACCCCGGTAACTGGTTGGTATTGTTAGTGGAGTGTGTAGCTGCAATTATGCCGCTTGTAATCTAGGAATTACTTGACTGTATTCAATGAAGGTCGCTGCCTTGATGCTGGTAGGGCGACGGACCTATCCTCCCCTTGCTCGGTTCCTGTCCAACTGCCTCCCGTTGCACAGGCCCTATACGACCCCTATAGGTTTAGCGCTTTTCCTGATTAATTGTGAACGCCATCAATATTTCATGTCTTACAGATGGTACGAAATGTACCAGATGTTTTTTGAGTACAGGCTGTGTGGGCGCAGATTTTCTTAGACTGTGTACACAAACTGCAGAATGATGCATCTTAGGCTCAGCTTGAAACAATTAATTCTGATGTGCAAATTTAATCTTTACTTTAGGCTGTTTAAATTTGAATGAACCAATTTAATGAAATTATTATTTGTGTGTAAAATAACCGGAGAATGTCGCTTATAATCAGAAATAACTTAGTGTTTGACTACAATGGTTGTCTTGGCTTAAATCTGCATAATTCACTTTAATTTGCCTCAGAGATCTGTGTGTACTCAAGATTATTTATCAAAAAAAAATCGTGTTTATCGGAACCTTAAATGAAACTAAATTCAGTATATATTTAGTTAATTAAAAGTTGGTTAATTTAACATGTAGAAAAAAATGGAATGATTACGGCTTGTATAGGTTCCAATTTTATTTTTTTTTAAGAAATTGGAAAACTGAAATAATGTTTTTCAAGTGATAATTTGAGCGTCACTTCCGAATACCTTCACTTTTTCGACTTTGATAGATAATTCAACTTCTGAGCGGCTTCAGACTTAATGTTTCGGTCTATTTTTGGAAATTAGTCTTAGAGACAACAAGAAAATTCCTCAATCGTTTAGCCTCAAAGTTGTTGCTTCTAAGTAAATGGTTTCAGCTGTGTCTGTGATCATTTCCTATTTTTATTAAAATAACTGCTATGTTAGTTCCCTTATAATTACTTGTGAATGCCTCTTCTGATTCACTTCACATCTTCAACTTCAAAATTTATGCTGCACTCTGCACTATTCTTGTCGCGTACAGCGAGGTAGAGGAGACTGAGGTCAACGAATACGGGGATAACTTTCTTGGATCGCGCAAGAAATTAAATAAATATATTTCCCTATTCTGTCTTCCCTTCTCACTGTAATGGCAGATGATGTGGTCTCAATGCGTCACCATTCACCCAACCGGAAGGAGGGGAGAGAGAGAGAGAGAGAGAGAGAGAGAGAGAGAGAGAGAGAGAGAGAGAGAGAGAGAGAGAGAGAGAGAGAGAGAGAGAGAGAGAGGAGGTAGGGGAATACAGGGATTACATAACTAAGAGGCTTACTTAAGTAAGACGCGTCTGGGTAACAATGGCTGCAGAACACTGTACAAAGCCCACGTTCACTCTCACCTTGAGTTTGAACCACTTTAATGCATTACCTGGACTGTTTAGATCTATCCTCCCATCTGTCAGCAACGAAGACATGTGGGTGAGTTTACTGTTAAGTACAAGATTAATAGTATTAAGGCTCAACCTCGCTGTCTCCCAGTTATCAACAGATTCACTTTATTTGTACCTTTCTAGAGATAATCATTTTTATAATGACTCGTGTATGGAACAGTTTATCGGAACATTTGAGAATTAGAGAAATAATGTAAATTAACGAACTGTTTTGTCTCTCTATAGCTGATATAGTAAATAGATTTCGAGGGAAAGTTTTTCAGAGAAGCTGAGGCGAGAAGAGAGCTCAAAGCTTCATGAAGGTGAGGAAGAAATATGAACCATACAAATGACTGAACGCATGGGGTTTGAACCCATGGCATGTGAGTTCTATAATTTACAGGCTAGTGCGTTAACCACTGTGCCAGCTGGCTCTAATAAGAGTCCTCCAACTAGATATATTTTTATGCATTATAGGGAGGTTAGCATGGGCCACCACAGTGACCACAAATACAGGTTTTGCAGACGAATCCCACACCAGAGTGATGTGTCGTGCTCTAGCTCAGTTCCCTTCAAAGCTATAATACCTACCTAGGGACAGTGATTTTCATCTGCCGTGAAGCAGGTGAGAAGAAATCTCACGATACAATACTGTTGCTTTTGTTAAGGCGTCCCACTTTTGTCTTTACCCTACGTTGAAGTGACGTAGATATTACAAAGTTACGCAAAGAAGACATAGAGATAAAACAGTAGGAATGATGTAATACAGTGACGTAGAGACGACGAACGTGTATCCTTGTAACTGTTATGTCGTACATTTGACGTAGTGACATATACGGAAGAAATAACGTATTTCAAGATCTGACAGTCACGTTGACGTGCCATAGTGACGTTGACGATAGTGACGTAGAGGAATAAAGAAAAGCAAGACTCACGTCGACGTAGACTCCAGGGGTAGAGAAGGTGGTCTTGGGAGACTGCATCTTAAACAAGTATCTGCAATAATCAAGATGATTGTCTTAGTTCTCTGTACGGAACCTAAGACCAGATGTATCTACATGCATGAGTACACGCACACCATGTACGTCAGTACGGGCACACCATGTACGTCAGTACGGGCACACCATGTACGTCAGTACGGGCACACCATGTACGTCAGTACAAGCCCACCACAATACACGAGTACAAGCATACAACTATACACAACTATGCGAGGTGCATCTATATTCAGAATGCAAAGTCTCGTATATTGTATCGAAGTCTGATCGAATTTTCCATAATTGTCAGGTCAGTAACGTCATGTTAGATCATTACAATACTGTCAGTGCTTGTGGTCTGGCCGTTTTCTAATGCTTTAAAACACACCTAAGTTCCCACGTCTTCTAATACCATGTTCATTTTTCCACTATAATCTACCGTGTTCATAATTACTATCGCATTTACTTTGTTTCGTAAAGTGAAGTCCAGGATCTTTCCTTAATTCATGGTATAACTTAACAAATCTTTGAAGACAATTGCAGAGGTCTGAGCAACTGTGATTCTCAGTTGTGTTGCAGAGGTCTGACATCACAATTGTCATCAATGAGTTGTTAAGTTATACCATGAATTAAGGAAAGATCCTGGACTTCATCTTACGAAACAGACAAAGCAAATGTGATAGTAATTATGGACAAGGTAGATTATAGTGGAAAAATGAACATGTTATTAGAAGACGGGGGAACTTATGTGCCTCTTAATACTCAATCATTCTGGCACTTGGCACTGGCATACCTGGGGCACTTGGCACTGGCATACCTGGGGCACTTGGCACTGGCATACCTGGGGCACTTGGCACTGACATACCTGGGGCACTTGGCACTGACATACCTGGGGCACTTGGCACTGACATACCTGGGGCACTTGGCACTGACATACCTGGGGCGCTTGGCACTGACATACCTGGGGCACTTGGCACTGACATACCTGGGGCACTTGGCACTGACATACCTGGGGCACTTGGCACTGGCATACCTGGGGCACTTGGCACTGACATGCCTGGGGCACTTGGCACTGACATACCTGGGACACTTGGCACTGACATACCTGGGGCACTTGGCACTGACATACCTGGGACACTTGGCACTGACATACCTGGGACACTTGGCACTGACATACCTGGGACACTTGGCACTGACATACCTGGGACACTTGGCACTGACATACCTGGGGCACTTGGCACTGACATACCTGGGGCACTTGGCACTGACATACCTGGGGCACTTGGCACTGACATACCTGGGGCACTTGGCACTGACATACCTGGGGCACTTGGCACTGACATACCTGGGGCACTTGGCACTGACATACCTGGGGCACTTGGCACTGACATACCTGGGGCACTTGGCACTGACATACCTGGGCACTTGGCACTGACATACCTGGGGGCACTTGGCACTGACATACCTGGGGCACTTGGCACTGAATCCCGGGCACTTGGCACTGACTTTCCCTGGGGCACTTGGCATGACATACCTGGGGCACTTGGCACTGACAAAACCTGGGGCACTTGGCACTGACTACCTGGGGCACTTGGCCTGCAAACCTGGGGCACTTGGCACTGACATACCTGGGGCACTTGGCACTGACATACCTGGGGCACTTGGCACTGACATACCTGGGACACTTGGCACTGACATACCTGGGGCACTTGGCACTGACATACCTGGGGCACTTGGCACTGACATACCTGGGGCACATGGCATCTCCTGCCTCCTTACATCATTCGAGCAACATCTCCCTGAATGAATCTGCTTAAACTTTCTGCTCATTTCTGCAAAATTGCAAAGTTCTTATAGTGTTGATTGCAACAGCAGAGGCCTAGAGCTATCATTCAACTCCCTATCATTTAACTACACTCATATAATATTTATATAAATTTTATATATATATATATATATATATATATATATATATATATTATATATATATATATATATATTATATGTATACTTTATATATATCTAGTCCCTGTTTCGTGTACTGTACAACAAGCAGTATTTTATATTATTGTGACCACGAACGAGTGGGTTTAATCAATAACAACACTGCACTAGCCAAGGACTCGAACCCATGCTGCTTTGGCCTGCCTCATGGTGGGCGAAAACGCATGACGCCCTAATCCACTGGGCCCTACGATCCTTAAGAGTAGCGCATCCAGCGGAACTGGATGTTGTACTTGCTACCCAAGGACACATGATGGTGTGGATGACTCTAGGATAATTTCATTCTAGTCCATGTTTGTTGTACTAGTACACTGCAGTGTTTTTATTGATCAATACCACTCGTTCGTGGTCACAATAATATTTATATATATATATATATATTATATATATATATATTAATATATATATATATATATATATATATATATTATATATTGTGAACAAAATATTTTTTTTTGCGGCCGGGAGAGTACCAGCGAATAAGAAAAAAAAAGCGAAATTTTGAGAGATTAAAGATTACAAGGAAGCTTTAAGGATAATAATAATAATAATTATTATTATTATTTTTATCATTATTATTATTACTGTTATTATTATATTTAATTATGAACTTAATAATAAAATGAGTAATATTAATATTATAATATAAATGAGTAATATTAGTGATACAGAAGTAACAAAAATAATTTAACACTAACAACAATAATAACCGTAATACTGGTAGTGTTATTCTTAGTTATATTGTAAAATAATATAAAATATTAATTATATAGCAAGATTAACATCTTCACTTTATATTATCAGTAGTGTTATTATAATAGTGGTATGTCAGCGACGGTACTGTGGTATGTCAGCGACGGTACTGTGGTATGTCAGCGACGGTACTGTGGTATGTCAGCGACGGTACTGTGGTATGTCAGCGACGGTACTGTGGTATGTCAGCGAGGGTACTGTGGTATGTCAGCGACGGTACTGTGGTATGTCAGCGACGGTACTGTGGTATGTCAGCGACGGTTCTGTGGTATGTCAGCGACGGTACTGTGGTATGTCAGCGACGGTACTGTGGTATGTCAGCGACGGTACTGTGGTATGTCAGCGACGGTACTGTGGTATGTCAGCGACGGTACTGTGGTATGTCAGCGACGTACTGTGGTATGTCAGCGACGGTACTGTGGTATGTCAGCGACGGTACTGTGGTATGTCAGCGACGGTACTGTGGTTGTCAGCGAGGGTACTGTGGTATGTCAGCGACGGTAAATGTGGTATGTCAGCGAGGGTACTGTGGTATGTCAGCGACGGTACTGTGGTATGTCAGCGACGGTACTGTGCTATGTCAGCGAGGGTACTGTGGTATGTCAGCGACGGTACTGTGGTATGTCAGCGAGGGTACTGTGGTATGTCAGCGACGGTACTGTGGTATGTCAGCGACGGTACTGTGGTATGTCAGCGACGGTACTGTGGTATGTCAGCGACGGTACTGTGGTATGTCAGCGAGGGTACTGTGGTATGTCAGCGACGGTACTGTGGTATGTCAGCGACGGTACTGTGGTATGTCAGCGAGGGTACTGTGGTATGTCAGCGAGGGTACTGTGCTATGTCAGCGAGGGTATTGTGGTATGTCAGCGAGGGTACTGTGGTATGTCAGCGAGGGTACTGTGGTATGTCAGCGAGGGTACTGTGGTATGTCAGCGACGGTACTGTGGTATGTCAGCGACGGTACTGTGGTATGTCAGCGACGGTAATGTGGTATGTCAGCGACGGTACTGTGGTATGTCAGCGACGGTACTGTGGTATGTCAGCGACGGTAATGTGGTATGTCAGCGACGGTACTGTGGTATGTCAGCGAGGGTACTGTGCTATGTCAGCGAGGGTATTGTGGTATGTCAGCGAGGGTAATGTGGTATGTCAGCGACGGTACTGTGGTATGTCAGCGAGGGTACTGTGGTATGTCAGCGACGGTACTGTGGTATGTCAGCGACGGTACTGTGGTATGTCAGCGACGGTACTGTGGTATGTCAGCGAGGGTACTGTGGTATGTCAGCGACGGTACTGTGGTATGTCAGCGACGGTACTGTGGTATGTCAGCGACGGTACTGTGGTATGTCAGCGACGGTACTGTGGTATGTCAGCGACGATACTGTGGTATGTCAGCGAGGGTACTGTGGTATGCCAGCGACGGTACTGTGCTATGTCAGCGAGGGTACTGTGGTATGTCAGCGAGGGTACTGTGGTATGTCAGCGACGGTACTGTGGTATGTCAGCGACGGTTCTGTGGTATGTCAGCGAGGGTACTGTGGTATGTCAGCGACGGTACTGTGGTATGTCAGCGAGGGTACTGTGGTATGTCAGCGAGGGTACTGTGGTATGTCAGCGACGGTACTGTGGTATGTCAGCGACGGTACTGTGGTATGTCAGCGAGGGTACTGTGGTATGTCAGCGACGGTACTGTGGTATGTAAGCGACGGTACTGTGGTATGTCAGCGAGGGTACTGTGGTATGTCAGCGACGGTACTGTGGTATGTCAGCGACGGTACTGTGGTATGTCAGCGAGGGTACTGTGGTATGTCAGCGACGGTACTGTGGTATGTCAGCGACGGTACTGTGGTATGTCAGCGAGGGTACTGTGGTATGTCAGCGACGGTACCGTGGTATGTCAGCGACGGTACTGTGGAATGTCAGCGACGGTACTGTGGTATGTCAGCGACGGTACTGTGGTATGTCAGCGACGGTACTGTGGTATGTCAGCGACGGTACTGTGGTATGTCAGCGACGGTACTGTGGTATGTCAGCGAGGGTACTGTGGTATGTCAGCGACGGTACTGTGGTATGTCAGCGACGGTACTGTGGTATGTCAGCGACGGTACTGTGGTATGTCAGCGACGGTACTGTGGTATGTCAGCGACGGTACTGTGGTATGTCAGCGAGGGTACTGTGGTATGTCAGCGACGGTACTGTGGTATGTCAGCGACGGTACTGTGGTATGTCAGCGACGGTACTGTGGTATGTCAGCGACGGTACTGTGGTATGTCAGCGACGGTACTGTGGTATGTCAGCGAGGGTACTGTGGTATGTCAGCGACGGTACTGTGGTATGTCAGCGACGGTACTGTGGTATGTCAGCGACGGTACTGTGGTATGTCAGCGACGGTACTGTGGTATGTCAGCGACGGTACTGTGGTATGTCAGCGACGGTACTGTGGTATGTCAGCGACGGTACTGTGGTATGTCAGCGACGGTACTGTGGTATGTCAGCGACGGTACTGTGGTATGTCAGCGACGGTACTGTGGTATGTCAGCGACGGTACAGTAGTATGTCAGCGACGGTACTGTGGTATGTCAGCGACGGTACTGTGGTATGTCAGCGACGGTACTGTGGTATGTCAGCGACGGTACTGTGGTATGTCAGCGACGGTACTGTGGTATGTCAGCGACGGTACTCTGGTATGTCAGCGACGGTACTCTGGTATGTCAGCGACGGTACTGTGGTATGTCAGCGACGGTACTGTGGTATGTCAGCGACGGTACTGTGGTATGTCTGCGACGGTACTCTGGTATGTCAGCGACGGTACTCTGGTATGTCAGCGACGGTACTCTGGAGGTGACTTAGGATGACCTACCTGTAGAACTCTCGGTCATCCTTGTACCACTTGACGGAGTACAGTGGATCAGTACCTCGGTCGTAGCGACACTTGAGTTCCGCGTCCTCTCCTCTGAACTTGTATACAGGTACCTCAACACCGTAGAGTATGAGGTGGTTATTACCTCTGACATCGTGATCCATGCTGTGTGGGCCCTCTCCCTCTTCCATGTTGTGTGGGCCCCCTCCCTCCTCAATGTTGTGTGTGCCCTCTCTCTCCTCCATTCCGTGTGGGCCCTCTCCCTCCTCTATGTTGTGTGGGCTCTCTCCCTCCTCCATGTTGTGTGGGCTCTCTCCCTCCTCCATGCTTCGACTGTTGGATGAAGAAGAGGAGGAGGGAAAAGATAACGGGTGGGAGGGATAGGAGTTTGACACTCTCCTGGGCAGGCTCGGAGTTCGGTGTTGCTGGAGTACTGCCGAAGGAGTTACTTGGCCCAGACACAACACAGCTCGACCTATAAAGAGTTGGGGATGTAGTTTCTGAATTACAAAGATTTTAATAAAACTAGAATTAGCTGTTACCAATATCAATATGAAGCTAATGTAACATAAAGAGGCTTTCAATTCAATGTCTCTTATGAAGATTCATTATATAATACATATGCAAATAATTCCAAATCATACAGACCGCCAGTAATTTTTTTTTTATGATGCAGGAAATATCCTCAGAATTTATGCACAATAAGTCAAACAAGCAAGCAGTGAGTAAAGGATTCTTTTCCCTGGGAATAAATTCATCGAACTTCGCAATAAGCTGTGTACTCACCTATTTGTACTCACCTATTTGTGGTTGCAGGGGTCGAGTCTTAGCTCCTGGCCCCGCTTCTTCACTGATTGCTACTAGGTCCTCTCTATACCCGCTCCATGAGCTTTATCAAACTTCGCCTTAAAACTATGTATGGTTCCCACCTCTACTACGTCACTTTCTAGGTTATTCCACGGCCTGACTACTCTATGACTGAAGAAATACTTCCTAACATCCTTTTGACTCATCTGAGTCTTCAACTTCCAATTGTGACCCCGTGTTTCTGTGTCCCCTCCATGGAACATCCTGTCTTTGTCTGCCTTGTCTATACCGCGTAGTATTTTATATATCGTTATAATGTCTCCCCTGACCCTCCTGTCCTCCAGTGTTGTCAGGCCAATTTCCCTTAATCTTTCTTTGTAGAAAAATCCCCTTAGCTCTGGGACTAGTCTTGTTGCAAACCTTTGCACTTTCTCTAATTTCTTGACGTGCCTGACCAGGTGTGGGTTCCAAACTGGTGCTGCATACTCCAGTATAGGCCTGAAGTAAATGATGTACAGAGTCTTGAACGATTCCTTACTGAGGTATTGGAATGCTATCCTTAGGTTTGCCAGACGCCCGTACGCTGCAGCAGTTATCTGATGCGCCTCAGGAGATATGCTCGGTATTATACTCACCCCAAGGTCTTTTTCCTTGAGTGAGGTTTGCAGTCTTTGTCCACCTAGACTATACCGTGTCTGCGGTCTTCTTTGTCCTTCCCCGATCTTCATGACTTTGCATTTGGCAGGGTTAAATTCAAGGAGCCAGTTGCTGGACCAGGCTTGTTGCCTGTCCAGGTCTCTTTATTGTCCTGCCTGATCCTCGACCGATTTGATACTTCTCATTAATTAACTTCACATCTGTAAACAAGGACACTTCTGAGTCTATCCCTTCCGTTATGTCATTCACATATTCCAAAAATAGCACAGGTCCTAGGACTGACCCCCGTGGAACCCCGCTTGTCACAGGCCATGTACAAACAGGACCTAGAGACACAGAGGGAAAGGCAGTGGGAGGAGGAGAGGGAGAGGTCAGTGTTTATTCATGGGCTTGAGAGCGAGGTGAGAACACACAATGAAAGACAGTGGGAAGAAAAACAGGACACTGAAAACATCATCAAAGTAATAGGAGAGGAAGACATGACTGAAATAGTAAATTTTCAGAGAATAGGTGGGTACTTGAAGGAGAACTCGGCCGGTGAAGCTGATTTTCAAGACAGAATCGATGCAAAACAGGATCCTGCAAGAGAAACCAAGGCTGAAGGAATCGTCAACATACAAGAGGGTGTTCGTAGACCGAGACAGGACAAGAACAGAATGACAGCAGCTGAGGGAGAGGACACAGAAACGAAAGGGGCTAGAAAAAGGGACAAGGGCAAATTCAGCAGAGGACATCCAGAGCTGGGCAGGGCAACAAGCACAAGCACACACAGAACTACCACAAGAACCCCACAACCAAACATACTACCCCAACACAAACCAGAATCCACACTTACATCCCCCACTCCACACTATGCTGTAGAATACCATGGCATACTGACAGGTCCCCCACCCTTACAGACCCCCCGGAACACAGTGTTGGAGAGGAAACTGAAGGTATGGTACACCAACTTTCATGGAGTAATGAAAAAGTGGGAGGAGTCGCACGAAAGGGTCAAAGAGGCATCACCAAACATCATAGCTCACACAGAAACCAAGCTCACAGGAATGATAACAGATGCCTTCTTTCCATCAGGGTATCAGATTCTGATGAACAGAGGGAACAGAGGGGGTGGAGGAGTGGCACTTCTCATCAAAAACCTGATTGGATTTTGATGAGTTGGAGAGAGGAAACAAAGGAGAAGCAAGAGACTACATAACAGGATCACTTCAGTCTGGAGGTCCAAAGGTTGTAATTGCAGTGATGTGTAACCCACCACAAAACAGCAGGACGCCAAGGCAAGAATATAATAAAAGTAACAAAAGGATGGTTGACACACTGGCTGAAGTGGCAAGAAGGGCTTTAATCACTAGGAAATCGACTGGGAGAACCTGGAGCCACAATGGAGCCCAGAAACGTGGAGGGCTAAGATTATGGAGGTGGTGCTGGAAAACCTCATGTACCAACACGTAAATGGCACTAACAGAGAGAGAGGAGAGAATGAGCCAGCTAGGCTGGACCTAGTATTCACCTTGAGTAGGGCAGATATTTAGGACATAACATATGAAAGACCCCTCAGGGCCAATGACCACATGGTTCTGAGCTTCGAATATATACTAGAGTCACAAGTGGAAAGGGAAGCAGGAAGGGCAAAACGAATGAAGCCAAACTACAAGAGAGGGAATTCCACAGGCATCAGGAATTTCCTGCACGGAGTTCAATGGGACACAGAACTGGCAGGGAAGTCAGTAAACGAGATGATAGAATATGTAACAATGATATGCAAGAAAACTGAGGAGAGGTTTATATCCAAGGGTAACAGAAATAACGAGAAAGCCAGGATGAGCCCTTGGTTCGCCCAAAGGTGTAGAGAGGTCAAAACCAAGTGTGTTAGAGAATGGAAGAAGTATAGAAGGCAAAGGACCAAAGCGAATACGGAGAGCAGTCGTAGAGCCAGAAATGAATACACACAGGTGTTCAGTACGAAAATGACATAGCAGCGAAAGCCAAATCTGACCTGAAGCTGTTGTACTGCCACATCAGGAGAACAACAGTAAAGGACCAGATAATCAGGCTGAGGAAAGGAGGAGGGGAGATCACAAGAAACGACCATGAAATATGTGAGATTTAAAGAAGTATTCACAGAGGGGACAGAAGAGACTCCAGGAAGAAGTAAAGACGCTTCTAACTGAGTTAGGTACCTCATAGGTGATGGGGCCGGATAACATCTCTCCATGGGTCCTGAGAGAGGGAGCAGAGGTGCTATCTGTACCACTAACAACAATCGTCAACGCATCTGTCAAAACAGGGCAACTACCTGAGGTATGGAAGACAGCAAATGTGAACCAAATTCTTAAAAAAAAGAGACAGACATGAAGCATTAAACTACAGACCAGTGTCACTGACATGGATAGTATGCAAAGTCGTGTGAAAGATTATCAGGGGAAGAGTGGTGGAGCACCTAGAAAAGAATGAGTTTACCAACGATAGCCAGCACTGTTCCAGGGATGGGAAATCCTGTGTCGCAAACCTACTGGAGTTTTATGAGAGGGTGACAGTACGACAAGAGAGAGAGAGGGATGGGTAGATTGCATTTTCTTGGACTGTAAGAAGGCGTTTGACACAGTTCCACACAAGAAATTAGTGCCAAAGCTGGAGGACCAGGCAGGGATAACAGGGAAGGCACTGCAATGGATCAGGGAATATTTGTCAGTAAGACAACAGTGAGTCATGGTACGTGGCGAGGTGTCATAGTGGGTGCCTTTGACGAGAGGGGTTCCACAGGGGTCAGTCCTAGAACCAGTGCTGTTCCTGGTATTTGTGAACGACGTGACGTAAAGAATAGATTCAGAGGTGTCCCTGCTTGCAGATTATGTAAAGTTGATGAGAAGAATTCAAACGGACGAAGACCAGGTAGAACTACAAAGGGATCTGGAGAGGCTTCAAGCCTGGTCCAGCAACTGGCTTTTGGAATTCAACCACATCAAGTGCAAAGTCATGAAGACTGGGAAAGGGCAAAGAAGACCTCAGAAATAGTGCGGTCTAGGGGGCAGAGACTACAAACGTCACTCAAGGAAAAGGATCTTGTTGTGAGTATAACACCAGGCACATCTCCTGAGGCGCATATCAACCAAATAACTGCTGCGCCTAGCAAATCTAAGAACAGCATTCTGACATTTTAATATGGAATTATATTATATATATATATATATATTATATATATATATATATATATATTTTATATATATATATATATATATATATATATATATATATATAAATACATGTATGTGAGATAATTATCTCGCACGCTAATTTCCGTTGGAGTGCTTAATACTTCTCCAGGATGTAGCCTACAACAATTCCTCCAGCTTAGGATTCTAACCATTGTTCCTTCCGTTAAGATATGAAAGCTACCACAGAGCAACAAAGACATGGAAATATTAGACATGTAGTTAGTGTGATGAGGAGAAGTGGTGAGGATTGTAGCCAGCCACAGATGGCCGCTGCAGCTGGTACTTGCACCAGCTGCAGCGCAGATTGTTGCCAGTGACCCAGGGGCTGCAGGAGTACCTTTTATGTAAGTGTCATATATCATTTGTAGGATCTGTAGTGATGGTGGTGGATACGTTTGTAGTTGTTATAGTGGTAGTAATACTAGTAGGTATGGTTGTGGAGGTTGTAGTTGTGATGGTAGTGATGTAAACGCTGTGGTAAATGTTTTGGTTCTAATTGTAGGTGTGATGGAGGGGACGTTAGAGAAGGAGTGCCGATAGTAGTAGATGGTGGTTGAAGTGTTGAGGTTGATAGTTGTCGTGTTGAGGAACGTGGTTGTAGTGTTGAGGATGGTGGTTGTAGTATTGAGGTTGGTAGTTGTAGTGTTGAGGTTGGTGGTTGTAGTGTTGAGGTTGGTGGTTGTAGTGTTGAGGTTGGTGGTTGTAGTGTTGAGGTTGGTGGTTGTAGTGTTGAGGTTGGTGGTTGTAATGTTGAGGATGGTGGTTGTAGTGTTGAGGTTAGTGGTTGTAGTG